GTCTGGTAGAGAACTTGATTGCAGTGCGGGGTGGGAGGCGAGTCTCCTGAATTAAGAGAAATTAATTTTCTGTTCCTTAAAGGCCCCACCTTGTGGTACTTGTATTTCCGCAGTCTTGAGAGATGCCAAGCGAGGGTTTGGGACATGAGGTGACTCGGGGTGGGGGCTGGGGGCTCTCTGCTGTATACACCCACCAGGTGTTTGCTAGCTCTGGTGTGGTGTTTAAATGCAGCAGCTCTGTGTAAATTTAATTATTAGCATGAACTGAAGGTACTGTCATTGTTTAACTCATCCGACCTTTTAAATGGATAACCAACCTTGAGGCTTAATTGGATTTTTAAAAAAAAATCCATTTCCAGCCATTGCCTGGCGTTAGAATGAAAGGATGCAACCAGGCCCAGGCAGATTGAAGGCAGCTCTGCTCGGGAGTATTTATTATTTACAATTGCACAATGACATTATCACAACCGGTAAGTGGTTTATGTACACCTATACCTTTTATAAAGCACCACCAATACACAGAGACACGCAAGTCATGTCACTGTCAGAATCGCTGTCCTCTGTCGGGCAGCAGCCCAATTCATCAGCCGCACCACCAATTATGCACAAATCGCAACTGAGCGTAATGACAGATACGGGGCTGCAAATCTCTCAGAGGCTCAGCCGGGCCTAATCCTTGTAATAAAAATAAAAAAGAACTCTTCCGGAAGCTCACCAAACCACATCTTGACCGTTCAATCTTTCCTGAAGGTCATTTAATTTTATGGAAAGAAATGAAGAACTGAACAGTAGCAGTAACAGCATCTTAGGGCCGGCAGAGAGCAAGCCCAAGTCGCCTGGACTGAGCCCTACGTGCGGTCAGCTCACACAGGCCTGGTCAGCCCTTTGGCAGCCTCACCTTCCACACCTGGAAAATGGGGAGTAGGGCCAGACAGGGGTTTCCTCCCCTTCGCAGGGGGCCAGAGCACTGCCACTTGGACCTGAACCCTGAATCTAAGGTTCTTCCAACAACCGTCTCCCTCGTTGGCCTCAACTGCAAGGCACAAACTGTCAGATAGATGACTTACAAGCAGCACCTGGGTTGAGTTTACTATCCTTGAGATGGTGTCCATTCCGAGGATGCAGCCAGCTGCAAATGCCCAGTTCTACCCACCTAAACCAGAGAACCACCAACTCCTGGCCCAAGTGGGTAGCCCCCAGGCACAGGGATTGCAGGAGCCCCCTCATCTTCATCTCCCTGGTCAAGAATGTCCTTGAAAAGGCCCGAGAGCCAGGTCCGTCCACACGGTTTCCAGGGATTCTAACCAGGAAAAAGATTCCGAGGAGGCCAGCGCGTTAGGGTGAGGAAGCAGCTATGCTCAGTTCTACTGGGGCTCCTCTCCCAGACACACAAGCCCGGCTTGTCCAAACTCCTGGTGACAGACACACATTGTGCTTCGACTGAACGTCTGCAGAGCAGCCTGAGGTTCGGGTCAGCCAGCCTTGTTCTGTTTTCTGTCCCCATGTCACCTCATCACTCTTCCCTGTCTGTGGTTCTTTCCAGTCGACCCTCCACATCCCTCTGACAAGGGAGACCTAAGTGATGCTCGGTAAACCAGGGGGCCACGTGGATAGACAGCCTGTTCTCTGACAATCATCGGGGTGCTGGCAGGGACGTGGTCACCATGCAGAGACCCCTGACTCAGGGTCCTGAGGAGACGGCAGTGTGGGTCACTCAGCTTACGTCCTGCGTACGTGCAGCCCACTGAACGAGAATGGGTGGTGCCAAGGCCTTAGGCAGGGCCCACCCGTCTAGCCGAGAGCTGTGCCAAGAGATAAGGGGTGGAGTGGGGGCTGTAACAACTTCCCGCCCTCATGTTTAGTAGGCGACAATCTTCTGTCAAGATTGCAGCCTTGGGAGCCTACAGAGCCCTTCCACTGTCCCACAAGGTCAGAGTTGGAATGGACTTAATGGTGGTGGGTTTCTAATCACTGGAGTTTCTGTTTAACAGGACATCTGTCCCCTAGTCTATGTCCCCCAGTAACTTCTCAAGAAGACAAGGGCGCTACGGCATCATGTGATGACCCCTCAGGTCCCCTGCTGTGTAAATAAAGCACAGACATTTTTAGGAAAAGCATGTCTGCTTCTTGGGTAGCTGAGGTTCCCTTTGTGTATACAGGATGGTGGATCTCCAGGTGCCTTCAAAAGGGTCCCCCAGACAGATGGAGTGGCTTCAGACCCGAGGAAGAGACCTCATGCCAGGACTTCTTGTCATGGGCCCACCAGCGGGAACCAGACCTTTGGGAAGAGACCTTGGAGAGCGAGAAGTGGACGAAGTGGATGGCAGAAATAAGAACTGCAGAGGGCCTTCAGTACGTGGGACCACTTTATTGTACAAAAGGTTTCCAGTAACAGTTTTTTTTTAAAAAAAAAAGTCTTTGACAGAAGAGCTCAGGGTAATTGCTTTATTTAAGCATACAAGAAAAAGTCTTATCTGACCAATTAGGTGGGAAGGCTTTTATTACCTTTAGGAAGCTATTAGCTGGGATCAAACACTGAATGCGCTTGTGTCCCAACAAATAAATAATGCTCTCAATTAAGGAGGGAACAGCGGACCAGACTGAGGGTCGACTCCCGCCGCAGCCAGCACCCCACTCCAAGTGGAAGAACAGACACGGATTTTAGTCACTCTCGGGGAGCCACTGCTGCAGGCTGGTCAGCTGTTCCCAGTTGGGGACACTGAGAAGGGCCAGCGGTAGTGGCCCTGAGTCTGCATAGGACAAAGCTCTCAGGGAGGGATGGAGACCAGGGAAGGAGGGCAGGGCCCAAGGTAACAGGTCATGATTGTCTGCTTCCGGTGACACCCTCCCTTCCTGGCCAAGGCTCAGCAAGAAATTACAGTGTCTGGAGGACCCCAACACGAGACACGTGCTGAGGGCCGGCTCCAGGCCCCGCACTGCCTCTGACATTGAGTGGGGTTACGCACAGATGGGGCGTCGTCTGGTACCTCATGGGCTCTGTTAGATAAATTTCTCATCAGATCCATGATTTACTTGGGGGCGGGGGGGAGGTAAGGACACACACGCAGGGAAACAAGCCCTCAGACCACTGAGTTACACGTGCTTGGCTAACTGAAAGGCTGGCCCGTGGGCACGCAAGGAGGTCCTTCCAAAGCAGGCCCCTGCAGCCCTCCAGCACCATGCGAGGCTGCCGCAAGCTCAACTCACTCAACTGGCTTGATAGCCTTTGAAGGGCCTCCCAGCTCTTCCAAGGACCAGCAGCCCCACTTCTGGGGTGGCCAACAGGGGCTGGATTCTTATTTCCTAGCCCCTCTGGATGCAGCGTTGTTTCCAGAAAGGCCATCCCTGCAGTTTGTGGCCAGCCCAGCCATGAGATGTGGGAACACCGGCCCAGTGCTACCGACACGGCTGGAAACACTTTAAAGGCACCTCGAAAGACACTGTGCGCACCTGGCCCAGACAACATGACCGTAGCTGATGAGAGCTTGCTCTTCTTACCAGAGGCAGAAACAATGAGAAAGCCATCAAACAGCACATTGAAATCGCGGAAACCAGACCTTGCCTTAAAAAAACCCTCCAACAAAACCACCCCACTGCCCTCGGCAGTGCTAGTTCCGACTCGCAGAGATGCTGTGTGACAGAGCTGTGCTGTGGGCGTCCACGGAGGCGTGCTCGATGGTACAGGGCCATAGCTTTCTCCCGCACAGCAGTGGATGGGCTCGAACCACCGACTTCGGGATCAATGAAAACAGGGACAACTCCATTTCTCATCACTGCCTGGCTTCCCATCTTATGCTGAAGTGCCAGGGACAGCACCTTGTTGATAACAAGTCCTGATGATATAACAACAGGGACATATTGGCAATCTGACCCATGCTCACGTGAACGAGGGGCTTCCAGGCCAAGACTCACCACCCTGCGGCAAAGGTGGCTTTATGGGCTCGGCTAAGTGGCCGTGAAAGCCAATAAATCACACTTGGGGGACACTGTACTTAGAAATGGAGTGATGTTTGGTTAATAATTTGAGCCCCACTGACTCTAAATGGGATGGCCACTGGAAATGGCCTTTGTGTAAATGCACAGCCCATTAAGCTAGGTCCAGTCTGAACAGGTCCTTCAGTAGCTGGTGTGTGGTAATGGGTCACGAGGGCCTTGAGGAGACGGCCACCAGACACTGCGGCTGGGTCTGCTGACTGTGGACACTGTGGAGACCCCTCCACATTCACATGAGGCTGGCTCAGATCACCAACTTCCAAATTCAGGGTCTGTTCCTCAGACCGCACCCTCCCCCCTCGGGTTTACATAGAAAAATGCAGTGCAAAGCTTTCAACGCACAACAGCCCACTCCCGATGAATCTGAACTTAGGAGGCCGTCTGACGTGTTAACTGACAGCCATGATGGTTTCTTATTTTTCACACTTTGTTACCCTGATCATTAACAGTGATGGAGAAGCAAAATTAAGTTAATGGGGAACGGATTATAAACGCTTAAAGGCTTCTTCTTCTCCAGTTGTTTGTTTTCAACTCGAGAATATACAGAGAGAAATGAAGAGGACTTTTGCCTCTGCTCATAAATTTCTGGTACTAAACTGTTAAAAAAAATCAGACGGTTGAAAAAAAAAAGGGTTTTTTCCATCAAAAATGATCTTCTCCTTAGACATGATTGTTAAACAAACCAGTGTACGTGTGTACAGTATTTAACAACTTCTGCATGGGCCTGTAAACTTTCAAGTCATTGTCTTTTTTTTTTTAAAAATAATAATAATAATAATACATATATATACTCTATAAGTTGGTCACAGACACAATCTCCTCTCCATAGCAGCATTGAAGGTCCTGACAGTCTCAGCAGCCCGCTGCCCTCGCTGGTGCTCACGTCCAGCACAGCCCACGGCCGCCCCCCACGCTGGCTGCGTCTCCCAGGGCAGGTCTTCTGTGGGTGGCCACGGGCGCGGGGTGGCTGCTCCCAATGGCTGGTCCAGGCCTGCAGCACCCATCACCTAGCGGGACTTCACACTGACGAGGACGACAACGAGGGCGATGATGATGACAAACAGGATTAAGATCACAAGCATCTTTCGGTTCTTCCTCTGATACTGCTCTGCCTGCAGAGAGAGGGAGATGCGAAGTCACTTTTCCTTGGACCCAAAGGCAGGCCTCACCTGCGCCTACTGGGAAGGAAGCATGGGCTTCTGGAGGCCCCTGGACAACACCTCTGCTAAAGGAACGCTCAGCAGACACCCTCCCTCCATCAGGGTGGGCTGGGGCTCAGCATGGAGTCCACACTCCTTCTCTGCCCTGGGTGCGCATGAGTGACCCTGTGTGCAGTCACGAGAGATGCACGGTGAACAGTCCTCATACAACCAGACCACGCGGGCACCACCGTACACGGTGAACAGTCCTCATACAACCAGACCACGCGGTCACCACCGTACACGGTGAACAGTCCTCATACAACCAGACCACGCGGTC